CTGGCAGCCATCAGTGTGGCTCAGTGTGACTTGTCAACAGGAAGGTGAAGTAGAGAGAGAATGTGGTCGCTCCAAGGAGAAAGAGAGAAAGGGGCCGGCCACAGAGAGCCATTTATCTCCGTCGCCCTCCAATCAAGCTGCAACCTGATTAACAAGATAAACTCCGCCCACATGTTCCTATGGGAGCCAGGTTGGCACAAAAACCTAACTGTCACAGGGGTCGCTAGGTTTCTCCAGACTGCAAACGGTGTCTAGGGAATAAATTTTAACAAGTCACAAACTCTTAGTCTGGAGTATGTCCAATAACCAGCTAGCAGTGGGGTTAGGCCAGGGTGTCTAGAGAAACGAATCTGGTGGCACTCATCTATGTAGAAGAAAGAGCTTGATATCAAAAGGGAATCAGATATCCAGAAGGCATTCCCATCGCTTCTCAGCCTTTTGGCTAAGATCAAGTGTAGTATCTGTTCTTATCAGTCAAATACCTGATACGTCCTCTATCTGAGGACAATATATTAAATGGATTTTTGGAATTAGGAAATGAAATAGGAATTTGCTCTGTAATTTTTTTAAAAAGAAGAGGAAGAAGAAGGCATCCCACCCAGTCCAACTCAAATCCATAAGTCTGATGCTAGTCCATAAACGCCTCTTCAGACTCATGTAGCTTCAGGTCGGTGACACAGAAAGGTGCAACAGGAAGCAGAGGGATCAGAGGCCTGTGGGGGCAGAGTCACGTGGAGCCATGTTTCGTGAGAACCAAGGGCAGAGCACAAAGAGCTCTTTCGGGTTTAGGTGGCCCACCTGAGGCCACCCCTGGAGGCAGACAGTCCCAGTGTAGTCCCAGCGAGGAGGAAGGAGATGAGAAATCATCTCTGTCCCATCGTATGCAAAAGGCCACATCCCTAAGGAGGTGTCATCCAGCTACCACTTGATTGACAAGTTGAACTCTAACCCCTAGCCAGGAGGGTCAAGTGGATATCTAGCTATCATATCTAACTACCACACCTACCACACCAACCTCCCCAACCACACCAACCTCCCCAGAAAGCACTTCATCCAGGAAACAAAAGACACCCAGCCCTACGACAGAGTCCTGGAAGTCAGGCTGGTCACGGTGGGCAGTCTTTCCCTAGACTTGGAAGATCTACGAGATACAGAACCAAAGCAGGCCAACGAAGCTTCCTCCCACCAACTCCAGCCTTCATCTCAGATCTCACAAAGAGAAGAAACACCAAGCCAGGGTAGGCCACTAGTCAAACCCAGGCAGGCGCTCCAGAATGTCCACCTGCCCGGGCCCTGGAAAGAAAAGGAGCCTCCCAGGGGCCATACCTTCAGTCCCACCGACCACTCAGCTCGCAGAACTGCAGCAGGCTATGAAAACAGCCAACCTGTGGCCAGTGAGTGGATGCTGACACACACATGCGGTACAGTATCATTGCTCTGCTACAGGGTGTCCGTGGCTGTAGTCTCTATAGCAGCAGACCACTGGGGCTTTCGTCCATAGCGTCACTGGGGAGGTTTGAACCACCAACTTTCAGTTTAGTAGCCAAGAGCAAACTGCTTGCACTACCCAGTGCCCTGGGACGGGCCACCAATCAAAACCCAGATCCCCTCCTCAGAGATGTGGGGCGTGCGCCTCCAGCATCCTCTTGTCGAGGCCAGCGCCTTGGGTCCATTTTCTTCCTGCTGGAGCTTAAGAAGTTCCTCTTCCAGGGTGTGTTACTCTGGGTACATAGAGAAACAAATCCCCACAGACACTCCTGTATGAGAGAGAGTTTTATAGAAAGGGTAAGTGCGCATCAAGGAAACATCCCAACCCAGTGCTGCCCAAGCCCACAAGTCCGACATTAGCCCACAAGTCTGACACCAATCCACAAAGAAGGCCTCCATCTCACAAAACACACACTGTGATGCCGACTGCGGTGGAAAGCCGAGTCAGTGAATGTGTAAGCATCTCAACGCTGGCAGGGGTCTCCACACGGCTGCTCCAGCACCCAGGGCTGCATCAGGGTAGGTCCATGCAGCTTCTCCTTGGGGATGTCTTGCAGGAAGTGGGTCTTGCCAGCTGAAGCAGGGAACTGGCTAAGGCAGTTGCACCCTGGTCCGACCATCACAAAGCAAGAGAACTAGAAAGTAGAAAGGCAAGCCTCACTGAGCCATTTATCCCTCCGCCTTTCAATTAACCCCACCTGTGTTTATCGGCCAGGTTGGCACAATAAACGTTAACTATCTCACAGGGGTAGGGAACCTTTCTGCTGCCAAGGGCCATTTGGACATAACATCATTCTGAGGCCATCCTGGTCAAACATCTAATTAGCTCACCCTTCATGTACTGACTAGGAGACCCGGTGGCAGAGTGGTTACCTAGTGGGCTGCCAACGACAAGGTCGGCACCACCAGCCACTCTGGGAGAAAGACTGGCTCTCCATTCCTGTGAAGAGTCACGGTCTGGGACCTCACGGGCAGTCCTACCTTGTCCATGAGGTTGCAAGGAGTCGGCATCAACTCAGTAGCCGCGAGATTGTTTTGTTTTGTTTTGTTGGAATGGGATGGCTGAAACTGCCTCTCAGTGAGGCATGTGGTGTTAGCCACTATTGATGATCTTGCAGGCCTTATATGGCCCCCTCACTGCTATCGAGTCCATTCTGAGTCGCTGAATAAGGACCATTAAAGAAGAACCAAGGAATTTGAATCGTGGTGCTGGTGAAGAATGTTGAAAGTACCACGGATCTGTCTTGGAAGAGGTAAGGCCAGAATGTTCCTGAGAGGCAAGGGTGGCAAGACTTCGTCTCACATACTTTGAACATAGTGTCAGGAGAGACCAGTCCCTGGAGAAGAACACCATGCGTGTAAATAGAGGTGTGCAGCGAGAAAGAGGGAGGCCCTCAATGGGACGCACGGACACCGTGGCTGCAACAATGGGCTCAGGAATAGGAACAGCTGTGAGGGTGGTGCGGGACCGGGCAGTGTTTATTTCTGTTGTGCAGGGGGTTGCTGTGGGTTGGAACCCCGTCAATGGCACCTGACAACAACAGATGGTCCACAGGCCAGGTGATGCCTGCACCTGTTTTCGTCGGAGCACAATTACTGCTTTCAATCTGCGAATGTGATACCTCCATTTGCATTGATCACTGAAGTGATTCAAGTCAAACAACTCCTACTTGCCCCAAAGTGCAGAAGTTCATAAGTTTAGTAGACAGCCTTCTCCTGTCTATCTCAGAAGGATGCCCATTTAGAAAGAGCTGGCAGGGAAATACCAGGGCCACAGCAAGATGAATGTGTAAACTCTAACCACGCCTCCAGGCTAGCTTCTTCCTCCTCACCAACTGGTCCCATTCAATTTTTCCAACTAAGGTCGCCCTAGACCAGCTCTCATCAGCTCCGCTCAGGCAGTATAAGAGATGACTGTTGGTAACAGGAGCGAGGCATTACTGCCAATAGAAAGATTATAAAAACTGGGGTTGCAAGTCACCTGTAACTTAAAAAATTTGGACCCAATTCTTGAGCCCAACAGTTTAGCTAAGCAAACTTTGCTCTTTCTTTTCCTTTTGAGGGGAAGTCTCACTGAAATAACCTAAGACATTCTATGTGGATAAAACCTTGTGACAACATTGGGAATCCGTGGTTGGTACAGAAAGAGGCCAGTGGAGGAGATTCTTGAGAGAAGTAAAGGGAATGGGATCAAAAGAAAAACCGACCATGCCAACCTCACAATCTGACACAGACAGACACATAAGGGGCTCCTTAAGAAATATGTGGATGCTTTCCCACCAGAACCCTAGAGCTGGATCAAACTCAGAGTAGCAGGGGCAGGCAAGCAGAGGGCAGACAGCACAGTCCCATTAACCTAATCCCGGCCGTCAAGTCCAACTCATAGGGGCTCTATAGGGCAGGGGATGACTGACTGCTCCACGGGGGTGGGGTTCTGAGATGGTACACCTTTGCCTCATCTTTCTCTTGCATAGCAGCTGGTGGGTTTGAACTGCCAACCTTGAATGACCAGGGCTCCTTAATTCCATCAAATGTAGGCACAAATCAAGGATGCCTGCCCTGCTCAGTGGTTATGTCACAGCACTCTACTAGTCCTGGTCAAGGAAATAACCCAAAACAAAACTCACACCACCCAGGGACTCCCCTGCCTCCACTCCCACGGACACCCTGTAGCAGAGCAATGATAGTCTGTACCGCATGTGTGTGTCAGCATCCACTCAGTGGCCACAGGTTGGCTGCTGCAGTTCTGCGAGCTGAGTGGTCCGTGGGACTGAAGGTATGGCCCCTGGGACCTTTTCTTTCCAAGGCCCGGGCAGGTGGACATTCTGGAGCGCCTGCCTGGGTTTGACTAGTGTCCTACCCTGGCTTGGTGTTTCTTCTTTGTGAGATCTGAGATGAAGGCTGGAATTGGTGGAAGGAAGCTCTGTTGGCCTGCTTTAGTTCTGTTATCTCATGCATCTTCCTAGCTGCCCACCATGACCAGCGTAACTCCTAGACCAGATACACACATTGGTGCAGATAAGAGATCTGGACACATGGAATCCAGCACAGATAAACCCTTCAGGAACAGTAGTGGGAGCAGTGATACATGAGGGGAGGGAGACGTGAGGGGAGGGGGAGAAAGGGGAAAGTGTTCACAAGGTTGGATGTACAACCACCACCACCACCCCAGGGGGATGAATAACAGAAATGTGGGTGAAGGGAGAAACAGGACAGTGTAAGATATGAAATAACAATAATATATCATTGATCAAGGATTCACAGAGGTGGGAGGGGAAAAAGGAGGAGCTGATACCACGGGCTCAAGTAGAAAGAGAATGTTTGGGAAATGATGATGGTGGCAACGCGTGTACAAGTGTGTTTAATACAATTGAATTATGGGTTGTTATAAGATCTGTAAGAGCCCCCCAGTAAAATGATTAATAAAATACATATATATGTTTGATGTATTTGAAAGAATCTAGGCAAGTGGAGAAATGCTGTATGTCTTAGTAGATAATACAGCAAAGATATCAATTCTTCAATTTTTTTTTAATTTTTCAATTTAACATGTACATTTAATAGCCAAATCCCTCTTCCAGAAATCTGAAAAATCAAAGCCAAGTATAAGCTGAAAGAACAAAACCACTGATTCTTAGGACTAAGTATGAGAACTTGCCCAGAGCAGAAGTTCTAGACCAGCTGATGGTTTCTCCCGAGTCTGAGGAAGCAGGGCCTAGTGTCCTTCTGTGAGCAGATCCTCGGACTGCAGCTGGGCCCTCTTCACACTTTTCAAGTTCAGTTTGTGGTATTTTCTTTTAAAAAAGCCGCACTAAAACAAAAGGCAGGGACGCCCAATTAGAGGACGATCCATCTCTGAAGCAAACGGCTTCTCTTCCTACTGGCTTCACTACCTGACTCAGTCACCTCCCTCTGAATGGAGTCTCCCCCGGATCATCCGTCCTTCCAGACTCGGCTTAAGAGCTGCCTCTCCAGCTGCTCGTCCCAGACCCCACCCTCCTCTGAAGCCCAGAACGCGTTCACCGGCTTCACGTAAGGCACTCTGCTAGGAGGAAACAGCAAGAACTGAAGGCGCACAGGGACACAGGACGGAGTATGTGCTTCCGCACTTCAACTGGACGGCTGCCTTTTGCGGACAGAGTGGCTGCGTTCACCTGCCTGAGCAGGGGAGGTGGGGGCAGCAGGAGGCAGGCAAAGTAGCCCCTAAGGTCAGAGCAGCTGCTCTGAGTAAAGGGGCTGGCTGTCCTCTGGAGCCTCGTGCTCAACCCCAGCGCCCAGCCTAGCTCTCTCTCGTCTTGATGAGCCCGAGAACTGACCTTGAATAGAATGACTATAATGGCGATCAACACCAGAAGGCCACCCAGACTGCTTCCAAGGATGATCAGCAGGAAATGGTGCGTCTTGTCTTTCAGAAGGATGACGGTGATCTAGAGCAAGACACGGGGCATCCAGAAAGCAAGGTGAGACAGATGGGCAGAAATGGCACACGGTCCTTAAAGGAGCAAACCATGGCGACGTGGCAGCATTCTGGGCATTGATCCAGGTGGATGGCGGTAGAACGAAAATCTTAAAAGGCTCCTGGTGCCGCGTCTGAAATGACCTATTGATTCAAAATTATTTTGGTCTCTTATCTGGGAGAACTAAGTCAGGAGATTGCAAACTTCAGTGCCAGCGTCTCTGGCAGCTACACAAAGGGTCCCAGGGCACTGAGGTCTCTAGGTCATCCAGAACACTGGCCTGGAAGAGAGAAAAACCAGGAGTCTCCATCTGGCTCTGCCACTACCACCCTGTATGGCCTTGAGTCGGAGCTCATCTGCTAAGTCCTTTCCATCTTACCCAAACTCCCTCGTTTTGAGGATCACATTTTCCCTCCGTGACATGTCTGACAGACACTGCTCTGCTCGTCACTCAGCATGTACGCTCTCTTAAAAGCCAGTCGCCATCAACGTCAGCTCCCGGCGATCCTGCCTGGGGTGGCACAGGACTGTGCTCCGAGGGTCTGCAGCCGCCAGACGTCCGGAAGCACGTGGTGTTAGTCTGCATTTGTTTCTCTAGCGTACCCAGACTAACACACACGGCTCCAGGCCTTTCTTCCCAGAGGGCATTCAGCACACAAAGTTCTCTTCCAAACTCACTGCCATCGAGGTAACTCTGACGCACGGTGACCCTACAGGACAGAGCAGAGCTGCCCCCGTGATTTTCTGAGACGGCAACTCTTTACGGGAGCAAAGAGCCTCGTGTTTCTCCCACAGAGCAGCTGGTGGGCTCAAGCTGCTGACCCTGCACTTCGCAGGCCAATGAGTCACTCAACGCGCCACCAAGGCACCTCATGTTCTCTTCAAAAACAAAAGAAAAACAACCTCACTGCCATCGAGTCAATTTTGACTCCCAGTGACCTAGACTGTAACTGTTTATGGGAGATGAAAGCCTCTTCTTTCCTGCATGCAATGGCTGGCGGTTTTGAACCAGAAACCCTGCGGTTAGCAGCCCAATGTGTAACTATGCCACCAGGGCTCCTGATGTTCGCTTAGGAATCTGCAAATTAACACTAAATGGCAGTGTGTGTATTACTTTAAATCTCTCCCGATGGAAGCCATCCCCAACCTCAAACTGCCCAACCTCAAACTCGCTACCTCAGAGTTGACAGGCATGTAAGCTCTCTTCTCACTGATGGGGCCCAACTGGAAGGACAGGGTAGGTGCTCCTGAGTGAGACTCAGATGAGGCCCGCCCAAGGTCCTATCCAACTGACCAGCCGACAGACCATGGCCAGAGCATGTTCTCAAGATGTGGGTGCGGCCTGACGGCTGAGCTCTCTGCCCACTGAGTTCCTTCCACCAGCATGCGCCAACAGCACCAAGGATGGCAGTGCTTTGAAGAGAATGGCTGTATGGGGCGGGGGGCTGGACAAACTTACCTTTAACACTTTAAGCCCTTTCCCATGAAAGTTGAAAAGCTTCTTAGGTTCCTAGGGCTCGACCTCAGGGCCCAACTTACTGCATGTGTGTTGTGTTGTTGTTGTTGTCAGCTGCCACTAAGGTGGCCCCTGACTCGTGGCAACCCTGTGCATATCCGAGTGTGATCGGATGGGCTGATCGATCACCGGGTCGTGCTTCCCTTCCTAGTCCATCTTGGTCTGGAAGCTCTGCTGAGCCTTACACAGCATCGCAGCAACACATCAGCCTCTGAGGGCAGGTGGGTGGTCATTGTGTTTGAGGTGCACAGACCAGGAAGCACACCTCAGAAGTTTGAGGCCAGCAGCTGAAAGATGAGGCTTCCTACCCCTGTAAAGCGCTTCAGTCTCAGAAATTCAGAGGGGCACTTCTACACAGTCCTATAGGGTTGCTATGAGGCAGCACTGACTGGAGGGCAGTTGAGAGAGATGCTGGAGGAATCCCTGGATGGTGCAGGCTAACACATTGAGTGGCTAACCAAAAGGGTAGTTGTGACAGTTACATAATCCCTGTCAACTTAAGCAAAGGGGTGGAGCCTGTCAATCAGGTCACAGCTGGATGACCTCATGTACCTCACTGGAGGCCAGACCCACTCTCTCTGCCTTCCCTTGCCTGCTGTTGAGACACTCAGAGAGCTGGGGAAGACACGTGGAGACCCGTGCCAGCATTGGGATGCTTCCACTGCCACTGGATCCACAAGACCTTCTACCCACTGGCTTGTGATCTTCCTGCATTCGGCATCATTGCATGTGTTGCGTGAGTCTAAAGAGGAATTTATGGACTAGTATCGGACATATGGGCTAATATTGGACTTATGGACTTGATCTGGACTGGGATGTTTTCTCAATATATAATTGCCCTTTGATATAAAGCTCTTTCTTATACCCATGAGTGTCCATGAATTTGTCTCTAGTAAACCCAGACTGTATCCAGAAGCAGCTCAGAAGAAAGACCTGCCAATCTTCTTCAGAAAAGAACCAGCCACTGAAAGCTTTAAGGAGCACAGTTCTTGGACACACAGGGTGGGGGGGCATTTGTGGAAGATGGCACAGTAGCAAGTGTTTAGTTACTTCCTCTCAGTCCTCGAAGCAGATGCTTCCTATTCAACTGCCTCGTTTCACAGATGAAAAACTGAGGTGGCAGATCTTGACTTGCTGGAGGACACAAAGGCAGCTGGTGACAGAGCCCAGACCAGAAAGTGACAGGACAGGAGGCACACGCAGAGCTCAGAGGCAAGGCAGAGTTTGCCCAGGGCTTACCTTCGTCCTGTGGTTCTCAGCATTCAGCCCCTCGTACAGAGTTTTGTCGTAAGAGATTTCACCCAGGATCCACAGTTCTGTCGATTCTCTTAGTAACTGTGAGAGGGACAGACAGGAGGTGGTGGGGAACAAAACCCATTTCAGAAAGGGACCCATTGCATTTGGACAACACCCACCAGCGTTCCCTTTCAGTGAGATCCTGCTCCGGTTTGCCTTAGCAGAGCCAGCGCCGTGGTATCCACAAAGTTACCAAAGCCAGAGACCCGCAGTTATTCCCCAACTGCGCCTCCCTCACCCTCCACCTTATACTAGGAGCCCTTGTAGTGCAGAAGGTTGACTGGTTGGCATCTAACTGCAAGGTCAGTGGTTCAAGTCTACCCGCCACTCCATAAGAGAGCAATGAGGTTGTCTGCTCCCATAAAGATGAGCGGTCTTGGGAACCCACAGGAGCAGTTCTCCTCGGTCCTGTAGGGCCGCTATGAGTCGGAATTCACTCAAGAGCAGTGGGTTGGGTTGGGTTTGGGTTTTGACCTCATGCAGCCCACTTCTCCCAATAAAAAAAATGTTGAAGGGGGGTGGGGGCTTGCTTGCACTTGACCCATTTCTCTATTCCCATTGCCACTGCCTTCCGTTCAGGCCCCTTCCATCACGCTCACAAGATGCTCAACTACATCAGTCGTAGGTCCCACTTCAGAATGCGTGGTTCCGGAAGGCAGGCGTCTCGAAGGTGACGTTCAAGCTACACATAAGAGGGACTGGCCCACATGAAGCTGTGGGGGAAGAGCCGTGTCGCCCGGAAGGAACAGCAAGTACATGGGCCCTGTGGCCTGTCCGATCCTGGCGAGCCAGACAACGGGAAAGACGGCCTAGCTGCAGCAGAAGCAGCCAAGGGGAAACGACTGCTAGGAAGCCGAGTGCGTCACACAGCAAGAAGAAAGGATAAAGTTTAGTCGGTTGTTGTTAGGCGCTGTTGACATGGTTCTAACCCATTGGGACCTCAGTACAACAGCCACGTCCCGGGCCATCCTCTCCGCTGTTGTTGCCTGAGCCCACTGTAGCAGCCACTGCATCAGTTCATCGTGTGGAGGGTCTTCCTCTCTGTACCAACATGATGATGCCCTTCCCTTCTCCAGGGGCTGGCCGCTATGAACTTGAATGGACTCAGGGGCCGTGGGTTTGGTTTCTTGTTTTTTTTGGTTTGCTCCTTCCTGATGACATGCCCAAAGTACGTGAGACACGGCCTTGCCACCCTCACTTCTAAGGAGCATTCTGGCTGTACTTCCTCTTATTTGCAACCGTTTACAGTCTCCGGCTGGTAGCCGACCTCCAGCAGCAGCGCTGGAAATGAACAGAAGCGATCGAGGATATATTTGGGAGGGAAAGTGACAAGCGGCTTGGTGCTGGAATGAGCATGAGGGTTTGGGGAAGGAAGGAGTCATAGGTAATTCCTAAAACTTTGACCTGAAAAACTGGTTACAGTGTAAAGGGTTAAGGAATAGGCTAGAACAAAAAGCAAATCGAGAGAGAGCGGCTTTTAAAAAGAGAGGGAGCCTCAGGACCAGCGGTGAGAGTGGCCATACCAGGAGGGAAGGGGGGGTAGGAAGGGGGAACGGATCACAAGGATCTACATATATAACCTCCTCCCTGGGGGATGGGCAACAAAAAAGTGGGTGAAGGGAAACGCCAGGCAGTGTAAGATATGATAAAATAATAAAGTATAAATTATTAAGGGTTCATGAGGGAGGGGGGAGCGGGAAGGGAGGGGGTGGGAAAAAGGAAAATGAGGAGCTGATTCCAGGAACCCAAGCAGAAAGCGAATGTTGAGAATGATGAGAGCAACGAATGTATACATGTGCTTTACACACTTGATGTGTGTGTGGATTGTGATAAGAGTTGTATGAGCCCCTAATAAAATGATTTTTTTTAAAGAGAGAGAGAGAGGGAGGGAGCTGCTTTGGACGTGCTGTAACATAGAGCTTTTCCTGGTGGTGCATGGGCCAAAAAACCCAAGGCTGGCAGTTCAAAGCCACCAGCACCTCCACAGGAGAAAGGTAAGGCTATCTACTCCAGAAAAGAACGATTTATAGTCTTGGGAGCCCTCTGTAGGGTACAATGAGGACGAACGGGACTCGCAGGCGGCGGATTTTAGGGGCCTTTAGAGGAGTGATACTCCATGGGGGTGGGTTTAGTACATCTGGGGCGGTTCGCGATTTGGAGTACCTGCTCAGCGTGGGCCAGGAAGAGTTCTGCAGCCACGGTGACATTTTCTTTATCTGAAGTGATGGCACAGCTCGCTGAGTACCATTCTTCCACGTGCTGGGACGGGGGGGCGTCTCGTTAGGCTAATCCCTTTTGGTGTGCAACTGAAGAAGTTTAACACGGCGCAGATGGAGGCATCTAAAGCCCCCGCCCCGCCCCCACGCCCCATACAGGGGATGAGCAGCTTCAACTTTCAGCTTGCTCCCGACAAAACCCCAGCCCGGGCAAACGTACCCCGCGAAAGAGCTAGGAGGACCTGGGCTCGCCCTGAAGGTGCTCAAGGGAAAACCTCAGGCAAGGGGTGGCGCCTTGCTTAAGCGCTGGGTGTTTGGCCGGAAAGTCAGCGGTTCAAACCCAGCAGCCGCTCCAGGGGATGGAGGGGCCGGGGCGGGGTGTTGAGGCTGGCGGCTCCGTAAAGATTTACGATCTCGGAAATCCTACGAGACACTTCTGCCCTGCCCTGCCCAGTACGATCGCCGGGAGTCAGAATGGACCGCAGCTCCACGGGTGGACAACGGGTCTTTGGTCTGCCCCCCACCCCTCCAGGCGCTCCCTGTCACCCGCGGCAACGTGGGGACGGACGGACGGACGGCCGAGCTCACCTGAACCAGGTCGCTTCCCCAAACGCACTTCGGAGTCTCCGTGCACACAGTGTCCGCCTGCAACGAGAGCCATCGTCACCGACGCCGTGAGGACGGAAAGCCGCCTCGGGTACCGGTGTTCCCACCAGTCCCGGCACTAGAGCGGCGGGCGCTAGGACCCGGCGGGCGGGCGGGCCGGCCGGCAGGCGCGTTCTCGCCACGCGGAAGTCTCGCGATGCTTGCGTTTGAACCTGTGGCGGGTGCGAGCCATGGCGGCGGCGCTCTCGCGAGCCGGGGACCGGCTCTTCCGAACGTACGGAGCCGCCGGGGACTTGAAGCCGCAACCGCGGCCGCGGAGGGCAGCCGCGCATTGGTTCCCGCCGCAAGACCGGAAGCGTTTCTTCAGCAGCAGCAGCGGCAGCGGCAGCGACACCAGCCACAGCGGCTCTTGGCACTCGGTCGTGTCCGACGACTCCGACGACCCGGACTTCCGCGGCAGCCCGGTCCGACCCCGGCGGGGGCGCTCGGGCGGCCGCACCCCCAAGGCCGGGCCGAGCCCGGTCGTGACCCGCAGAGGCCTGAGGCTGCGAGCTCGGCGGCCGCAGAAGTGCAGCACCCCGTGCAGCCCGCTCGGCCCGCCGCCGCCCTTCCCGGACCGCCGCCCGGGCCAGCGGAGCCCGGAGCTCAGCGTGTGCAGCCAGCCCCGCGACGGCGACGCGCTGGGCACCAGTGCCTCCCTCTTCAGCTCCCCCGCCTCTCCCAGCGGCCCCGGGACCCTGGCCCTTGACGACAGTGTCATCTACGTCCGTCCGATGGCCACTCAGGACGAGGCCCCAGGGGCGCCGAGAGACTTCCACGGCTCGGCGGCAGCCCCCCTGGACCCAGCACGGCGCCCCTGCTCCCGGAAGACAGCGGCTGCCCGCCAAGGCCGGGCCACCGTCAGGTCAGCCCTCTTTAGCCTGGCGGACTCGGGAGACCCGGAGGACTCCAGCCTGGGGGCAGATGGGAGGACTAGGAGGGCGTCCTCCCGAAGAGGACAGAGGGGCAACTGGCCGCAGGGCCTGGGTGTATCAAGCACGCGCAGGAAGAGAGCCGCAGCAGCCCCGCCCAGCCATGGCAATGGGTCCCAAGAGGCTGTCCAGATAGAAGATGAGGCGCCCAGGGGTGGCAAAGGTCGTCGAACAACGCCGAGAGCCAAAAGACCTCAAAGGGCTGGAAGGAGCCAGAAGCGAAAACATGGGGAGGTAGCAACAACCTCTCTCCCAGCCCACTCATTTAAAAAGGACCAAAGGATGAAAAGGGATTCGTTCCTTGGCCAGAACCTGACTCAGTCACAGGACTCCTCTTGGACCCAAACCAGGGCCTCCTTCTCGCTGCACAAAAAGAAGATTGTGACAGCTTTGCCAGAGGTGTACAGCAACACCACCATGCCCAGTTCTCCCTCGCAGTCCTTCCTGTCGGAATATTCCCACCCTCCTGCCATGAACAGAACAGGCCAGGCTCTGTCCCCTTGGCTCTCCTCGTCCATGCATTTGCTCAGCCCTGTAAAGACTCCCCGTGTTGTGCACAAAAAGGCATCTGATGCTGAAAAGGTTTATGGGGAATGCAATCAGGAAGGACCAATACCCTTTAACCGCTGTCTTTCCAGGGAAAAACTGGAACACTGTGAAAAGATTGGGGAGGGGGTGTTTGGTGAGGTGTTTCAGACAATTGCCAACGATACACCCGTCGCCCTAAAAATCATCGCAATTGAAGGGCAGGATCTAGTCAACGGATCCCACCAGAAAACCTTTGAGGAAATCCTACCAGAGATCATCATCTCCAAAGAGCTGAGCCTCCTGTCGGCTGAGTCAAGCAATCGGACGGAAGGCTTTATTGGGCTCCACTCGGTGCACTGCGTCCAGGGCTCCTACCCGCTCGTGCTCCTCAGGGCCTGGGATCACTATCACACAGCCAAAGGGTCTTTGAATGACCGGCCTGACTTTTTCGGTGAAGGACAGCTCTTCATCGTGCTGGAATTTGAGTTTGGGGGCACGGACTTAGAGCAGATGAGAAAGAAGTTGGCCTCCATGGCCACTGCCAAGAGCATTCTGCATCAGATTACGGCATCCCTCGCCGTGGCAGAGGCGGCCCTGCACTTTGAGCACCGAGACTTACATTGGGGGAACGTGCTCTTAAAGAAGACCAATCACAAAGAGCTCCAGTACACCCTCAACGGGAAGACCAGCACTATCCCCACCCGGGGCGTGCACGTCAACATCATCGACTACACCCTGTCACGCTTGGAGCGGGACGGGATCGTGGTTTTCTGTGACATTTCTATGGATGAGGACCTGTTTACAGGTGAGGGTGACTATCAGTATGAGATCTATCGGCTGATGAAGAAGGAGACGAACAACTACTGGGGGGAATACCACCCGTATAATAACGTGCTCTGGCTGCATTACCTCACGGACAAGATTCTGAAACAAATGACTTTCAAGACTAAAACCAGGACCTCTGCCTTGAAGCAAGTGAAGCAAGAGATCCAGCATTTTCATGCCACCATGCTGAGTTTCAGCTCTGCCACGGAGCTCCTCTGCCAACACCAGCTGTTTCAGTAAGTCAAACGGGCCTCCCTGACACAGACTGAGAAGACGTTGGTGTGGGAGCCCCTGGGAGTGTGCTCCCCCACCGCCCCCCCAGCCCCATAGCAAGGTAGAAATTCCCATTCCGCCAACATTTTCAGATAAGGATTTTGTTTCCAAGTGGTACTGCTGGAATGATGAACATGCTGTTTACAGACTCAACGTGAGAGCAAGTGTTCACTACTCACAAGCTCTCTTTGAGCACAGTCTACTCCGTCAATGTCTTTCCATGCGGTCGTGTTTGAGCCCTGACACTTTAGGATCCCTGGGCCAAAAGAACACACCTTAGGAAAGGCCGAGCCTTCCACCACCATCCTGACCAAAGCCTGCTGCTTTGGCCTCGGAGACCAGACTACGGCCGAGGCGTGCCAAGCGGAAGCAAAGAAGCTGCAGCAAAGCTGAGACTCAACAAGACGGACTGGAAGGAGAGCAGATAGGGAGATAGTAGGCCATTGATAGGGGCCTGCAACAAGGGCCACGTGTCTATCAAGCATTTGCCAATTCCACAGCAAAGCAGAATTTTATCTGTTTTCAACAGGAAAAATAAATGTCTCCATGGCTACTAAAAAGGTTGGACTGTTTGCTTTTTTCACCGAGGGGCGACATGCGGCTCCACGATCTGAGTGGTCGGAAGTCCTCGTGGAGGTGACTGGTGATTTGATTGACTCCGATTTGCCCATGGCTAATCGAGGTCATATCCCTTTTCTAGAACTCTGGTTTATAACCTTTGCCCTCCCCAAGTCACTCAAGGAAGTGATGTGGTGATAAAGAACCACGCGTGCGTACCTGCGTCTTTGTCACATTCTTCACTCTCGCAACCTGAAGGCCTTGGATTTTGAGTGGAACACACACTTGCAGCTGGAATTGGGCTCCAAAGCGATTTTCCCCATGTACCTGCAAAGTGCATTCAGAGGAGGGGATGTCCGATCCAGGGCTGCTTTGGTACCAGTAGCTTTGCAGGGGTAAGCTCCAGAGGAGACACTTACACTGAAGAGGAACTCCTTGTGCGCAGAAAGCCTCTGGCTTGTGTTCATGTACATCACCGACGGTCTGCAACGGAGAGGACGTAGTCTCATGTTACCGAGGGAGTTATGAGGAACCAAAGCTGGCATCAACATGTAAAGTGGCCGTTGGGCAGTGGGGATGAGGCCGGGTATTTGAATTCTGTGCAGTTGGGCTGGCTCTATCACGCCACAGAATGCCCCCCCACCCCCCAGTTTTACTTTTCCTCCTTTTTTAGTCACTCAGACCAATATTGAGATCTGAGGGGTGAGGGAGCTGGAAGTGTTTTCTATTTTATTTATTTATCTTTGTGTGTGTCTGTGTTAAGCCCTCCCTTGTTGTCTTTTGACCACACCCCCTCCGTCCACACCTTGCTCCATCCCTCTCCTCTCTCCGTCCCTTCCCTGTCCCTGGCCTCTCTGTAGTTGTCAAAGTCTTGTCTACTGCTATTTAAACTCCCATTTCTTCACTGTTTTTCCTTATAACAATAGTGATAGTAAATATGAATCTTTGTAAGATTGACTGAGTTTGCGAAGGGTAATGTCTAGTTTTCTTCCATGTCTTGCAGTGTTTAAGAAAGTGATCATTGTGTTTTACTGACGCATGAAATTCCATAGTATGGATACACCAGAGCTTGTTTGTCCGTTCCTCTAGAGTTGGGGTTTTGGGATGTTTCCATGTTTGAGCTACTGTGGAAATTGCTGCAAAATGGCCTTACTCACCCCGCGCCTCTGCTTTGCCCAACCCCATAGCCCCTTCTCTTCTCTCCTTAGCAACACCATGCACCATGGTAGGTGCCCTCTAGACTAGTTGGCACTCCTCCTCCTTTGATATCCCTGTGGGGTTTCTTGTGATGCACTGCCAAGTCAATTCGGACTCACAGTGAGCCCACAAGGCAGAGTAGAAGTGCCCCATGGGGCTGGCTCCCAAGGCTGTCATTTATGTTTGAAGGAACAAGCTGCTAGGTTTTAACAGGGTACCTTTTGGTTCACAGCCAGTGCTACGCCTTATGGAGTCCTGGGGCCCACCTGCTGCTTCCCTAGAGGTCACTGTTCGAGCTGGTTCGAAGCAGCCTCCTCTCGAAGAAGAGCCAGACTCATGTCCATCCTAGCCCAAGGCACCTGCCCCAGGCATGAGCAGGCCCTGCGCCGGGGCTCCTGAGAGGGACTTACTTGGTAAGAGCCGCAATGAAGGCACGCTTGAATGTGAGGGCTTCTTTCTTCGTAACTGGCGACCTTCCATTGGCACTAGGAAATAAAGCGTGTCGGTGGGTGCCCAGCATTCGCGCTGTGTGCATTCACATCGGCTCCTGTGCCATGGCCTCGCCTCGCAGGGCCATCTGGGGCAGCACAGGAAAGCTGCTCCGAGACAAGCAGTGGGGATACAAAGGAACGTCCACCCGCGTGTGTTCAAGTGCAGGACCTCAGGACTCCCCTGCTGTGGTCCAGCTGGCCTGCATTCTGCAAGTCCCCCTGGGGGGGCTAAGGCAGGTGGGCTAGAGACCATACTTGGAGAAGCATTGGTTGCACCGGGGTTTCTAACTTGGGTACCGTGGACATTTTGGGCAGGTCGTTTTTGATGGGGAGGGAAGGAAGGGAGGCTGTCCTGTCAGGTGTTCAGCAGCCTCCCCGGCCTCTACCTGCTGGTTATGAGCAGCAACCCCAGAATCCCCATTTGAGAACTTTTTCACAACATTACTCCCGGCCTCCTTGCCAGACCTGGAAGCTTTGCAAATGGCAGCTGCGGCGAGTTCAATGCGTCAGGACTAAAACTAGCTTCCCACCCCAAGGGGCTCACTCCACTGGGCCAGGGCACAGCAGGAGATCACCTTAGTAACCAGTGGAGGGGGACGACGACTCTCGATGGAGTACTCCCTCCTGGGGTCATAAGAGAGCCCTTGCTCTCAGTACACACAGGGACGGAGACTTGCCCCAGGGCCACACAGCCTGTGCCTGTCTGTGCACCCAGGTGCCCCTCACCTGGTGAGTGTCACCGCGATGTCCGCCGTCTGGTTGGGAAACGCATGCTCCTCCAGCTGCCAGAACGCCAAGATGCCTGCCTGTTTTCAAGGGGAAACAGATGTCACTTGCTTTCCCTGTGTGCGACTCAGCTCAGATTGCTTGCTAGTCACTAAGGAGCGTCGGAAGCGAAGTAGACCTCTCATTTTTGCAGCACATCTCCACGTTCACGAGTGGGTCTGCGCCATTCAGGGCCAGCAAAGTGTAAGCACAGAGAGAACATTATTCCCACCTCACAGTGGGAAACACTGCTCCAGAGAGTCCAGGGGCTTCCAACAGCACAGAGGCACTTGATGGATCAGGGCCCACCTCTGGACTAAGAACTCTGGCTATCACGGCTTCCCTGTTAGCGCCAACCCTTGATTGGCCAGGCTCAGCCGGTTCGTCTATGCCTATCGGGAACTCACCTCCTAGCTCCCCTGCTTCCTACACCCAGAACAACCTTCTGGGTTCTGAGTACTGCTGTGGGTTGTGCAGGAGAGAGCTGTGTGTGCAAGGGAGCTAAGTGAGGCATTCACACTGGGATCCAGAAGATACCAACTCCGGGGCAGATGGAAGAGCCAGCCAATCAAAAGAGACTCACGCTTGATGACCTCTTGAATATGGGGTGGCCAATCTTGCAGCTCATCACCAGGGCAGAAGCACCTGGCTTAGGGTCATCACACTGGATATTTAGAGAAGAAGGCTGCGGGAACAGAAGATGACACTTCTTAGGGAGCAGTTGCCTCACCAACACACACACCCTGAGATCCCACATGGCAGGCACCACACAACACAGAAAGCCGACTTGGTCCCTGCCTTCCTTCTTCCCAAGCTGGACAGGGGCGCTTAGAAGTTGATCACGGAAGCATTTAGGCACAGGGCCTGTGTACAGAGAATACCAGTGGACAAAGATCTTCATTCCAACTATGGCTAGTTGTTGGCTAGTCAGACTCGTGACAACCCTGTGTGCACACAGCAGAACTGCTCCACTGGGGGTTTCCTCACGTTTGGGGAGGGAGGGGGTGTTTCAAAGCTATGGAAGCGAATCACAAGGCTCTCTCACAGGGAGCCTCTGGATAAGTTTGAACCGCCAACTTTTCAGCTGGTATTTGAATGCTTAACCAATTTGCCCCAACCCAAACCCACTACCGTGTAGTGGATTCTGACCCAGGGACCAGCACCAGGAGCCCTGGAGGGATAGTGGGTTATAAGTTAGAATCCATACCATGGCAGTGAGTTGGGCTTGGGTTTGGGGTACCTACCTGGTGCCTAATGGGACAGATTTTTAGCTCTCCAGTTTATTTTTACTCTCAATGCCTTCAGACATTAAAGTTTATTGCTCTCCCAGAACCCTGGTTAAGGAAACCTGTCGGCAGGAAGGAATGGCTATAAAAGGGGCACGATGGGAAGTTCTGGAAGCAAAGAATGGCATGATTGGGGCTATGACCTATGGACAGATCAGAGGGGATTCAGGGGCGGGATGAAGCTGGAGGCGGGAGACTGCTGTAAAAGAGAAAGGAAGCAGCGAGGGGCAGACATGCGTGGCATGGCTCGGAAGTTGTTCTCAGAATTACCTTTTGTATCCTTTTAAACTGTAAGTTTGTGGGGTATTTCAAAGTCAGGTTTGTCATGTAGGAGTCTTCTCCATGGTTGGTTATGTTCATATGCACAGTCAGCTCACTGGTGAGACCTATCACCAAATCCTGTCTGCACAGGGTGCACGAATAAGTAAAAATATTGCCGGTTAACCCAGTGTGTGTGTGTGGGGGGGGGGGAGGCAGGGGTTCGATGCCATGTAATAGCCCACTCTCAACGGAGTTCTTAGCTAAGCGGCCTCAAGGAGACACTGCACCTAGATCAGCTTCCCCTCCATGCAAGCAAACACCTGGACTGCCACGCTCCCTCAGCTGACCTGTGAAATGATGACAAGGGCTGCCTTGTCATTTCTTCTTCATGTAGCGCCTACCGTGTGCCAGGACCTGTGCTAAAGGCTTCGTGCACTCAATTCCTTCTCATAAGCCAATGGGATGGCACAGTTACTCTGACGCTGCCTTACATGTACATGGCAGTCTAGAGAGGCTGACTAACTTGCCCGAGGTCTACTAGCCACGGGGGGCCTTGAGAGAATTAGGTCTCGATTCTGATCGGACCACGAACTTCAGTTATACATAGTCTTCTCTTCTCTCCGCAGCTCTGCTCAGCTAGGAGAGAGCAGTGGTGTCCGAGCCAGGCACTGTGCTGCCCTCATAGCGCTGCCCCTCTCTTGGTCTCAGCCCTCCCATCCGAGAAATCACAAAGACCCTTCTTCCGATGGAAAGGCTACCACTATTTAGACTGGAGCCAGGAAGACTCGGGGAGGTGGGACTATTTCCTTCAGACCAAGGAGGCCTCAGAACGAAGGATCAGCCGCAGAAGTTGAGCTCTTCAAGAAAACTCTGAATGGGGGGGGAGGTCAGACCACACCACCACAGAGATGGGCCCTGCTCCCTGCTGCTGGGGACAATGAGCTAAGGCTTGCGACCATTAGCTTGGTTCCTGTAGGTGGGGTTTACACCCTACTAATAATGGTTCCTATGGAGACCCAGAGAACAGGTCCCTGTTAAGCTGCCATCCTAAATCTAGGATCCGCCCCGTCTTGTCACATGTATACCCCAATCCCTCCTCTTCCTATTGCGTGTATGTCCCTACACCACCCCCTCTCATTGCTGTATAACCTATAGTGCAACCCCTTCCTGTGACATATGTCTTTACCTGTAATTAGTGGGCTTGCACACACCCCCAAAGGTATATAGGCCTGGGCTAGCAATCGAGATCTCTCCTGCTCTCCCTGGTCACTTGTCTCTCTTCCCCCTCTCCTCTCCCATCCTCTCTCCCTTGTTCCTCTTCCAGTCCTCCTTCCCTTCCCCCTCTCTCCCTCCACGTGGACCACCAAGCGGGGCTGAGGTGAGCAATGCTACCATGTAATGTGTCTGACTGCATCATTGTAATATCTCTTCTATCTCTCATGCTCTCGATGACTTTAATATAATATATCTATATATATATATCTCAACCGTACAATTGTGGTTACTGAACCCAACAATAAGAAAAGGTTCTAACCATCAGAAACACCCCAAGACGGAATGTGCTGTGCTGGGAAGAAATAGGTGTTTTGTTTTCTTTTCAATAAGATGTATTTCAAGGAAACATCTTTTTTCTTGTTTCCCATTGGCTCTGGCAGCTAAGAAGAGGGTGCGTTGATTGGAAAGAGAG